CGCCCCACCCCCTTTCACTTTCCTCTTCCTACCGCCTCACCACCGCCGCCGCGGCAGCGAGCTCACAAATCTGTTGCAACACTGCCAGCAGCATTGCGCCGACTTAACTCGGAAAAGACTGTCTGGAATCGGCGATGCGCGCGAGGTCAACGCCCCGGCCCCAGGGCACGGCGGAGTGCTCGGATGTCGTCTCTTTTGTTTTACGGCTCCTGTGCAACCCCATTTGATCCAGGTGGCTGAAAATCCTGAAAATCCCCGTCGGGTGTGGCAGTGACACTGTGCCGAATGCACGCGTGTACTTGGTTTGCCTACGCGTTAGGGGCCCAAGGCGATCTGCACTGTCATCATTTTTGGGGGTCTTTTGGGTACATATTGGCGGGGAAAACAACCCAAATTGGAGTGGTTCTTTTTCATCCAGGGAACAGGCATGTCTTCCGTAGTCCTGAAAAAGCCGCTGGAGATACTGAATGTGCGATCAGCAGCAGCGACATTTGCCATGCCCACTCGGTTGTCGCACGTCGAGAGTGGCGCTGCTCTGCCTGGCCCCACGAGAAGCCACTGCGACTTTCACCTCCATTTCCAATAGGGGACCGGGACCAGAATCCAAGCCAGGCAGCTCGGCCCCGGCGCTCCCTATGACGACCAGATCATGCCATCATGGGCTTCGGAGAAATCTATTACGATAAAACTGCAATAATAAAGACTTTGGAAAGACTAATAAAAGGACCCATTGGTGTCCCGTAATTCTCGGGTTGCCATCACGCACACTATAGCAGAAGCCAGAGACCAGACCTAGGAACGTCAGAGACGTTTGGCGAAGAAAGAGGTGAGCGGTTATCAAATTCTCGTCGGAATTTCCTGACTTGTGTCGGATAGTTTTTACTCATTTATTTATCGGTCTTTGTCACGCGGACAACGCGCGCAGGACGGGCCGAGCTTTCTCCATTAGCGGTCAAACATGTTCCGTCTGTGCAGGGCTGGTGTGTCGGGAGGCCCGACCCCGCTCCACACCGCAGCGAGGCCCGGCCTGGAAGTCTCGCCTTCGCCTTGTTCGAAAACATATTTTTTTCAGCGGTAGCTGAGCCCGGCGGCCCCCCTCTAAAAAAGTGAAACATTTTCCTCCTTGTCCTTTATAATATTTCAGCAGGTAAACTTCCTTGGAGCGTCTTTTACAATGATGCAAGCGAAACAACTCCGGTTGTTCGTTCTGGTAACGCAAATAATAGCAAAATTGTCACACAAACTGGGTCAGGGGTGGAAGACCGAATGAGAGTAGAGCGGTAGCGTAATCCCACCACCCGCCCCCTGCTTTCCTCTGCCGCACCATAGCTCCCTCCCCCCCTTTCCCATAATTGCTAAAATAGTCGCGCGCACTGGAGGCAAATGATTCGAATTAAACGAAACGCGGTGCAGCGAGCGAGCTACTG